AATATCAGCAGTCTTTGAAGGCCTAACTTTACAGTTGTTTCTGCATTTTTTTTTTCTGCTCATGATCACTTGTTTTATTGTGTTTGATGGTTTTTACCTTGATATTACATCTTACTTGGAACTTAGTTCATGGGAATTCTTTGAGGCCTTGGGGTAAGTGCCTTCGTCCAGAGATGATCTGTGTTTTCATCTGCTGGGTATAGGTGTACACCCATTTAGGGTCACTTTATTTATTTTCTTTAATTTATTTAATGTGTTTATTATTTTTGGTTGTGCTGGCTCTCCATGGCTTCGTGTGGGCTTTCTCTAGATGCGGTGTGAGAGCTTCTCATTGCACCGGCTTCACTTGCTACGGAGTACAGGCTCTGGGGTATGCAGGCTCAGTTGTTGTGGCACATGGGCTTAGTTGCTCCACAGCAACTAAGAGATTCTATAGAATCTCCCCAGACCCAGGATCAAACACTTGTCCCCTGTATCGGCAGGTGGATTCTTAACCACTGGACCACCAGGGAAGTCCTCCAGAGTCACCTTAAAGTGAAAAATTTGGCTTTGTATTTTTCAAGTCTCATAGGTATTGTGGATTCTGGCCTAAACCTTCTAGAGTGTGGGTGAGGATTAGGGATACTCTGGAAGATTTTTTCATTCTTTTCTCTAAAGCTGTTGCTGAAGAATCCATCTCTACTTCCTCCCCCTTCAGGCACTTCTTTTTCTGTTGCCTCACCGTCTGAGGGTCAGTGATTTAGGGGTCTCAGCTTTATGCAGAGGTCTTGTCTGATCTCCACCCTGGTCTGGTCTGGGCTTTGTCTCTTGTCACCAGGGATTGGGAAACTGGTTAAAGACCAGGCTTTAAAGATCTTTAGGCCCCTGAGGATTGGATGAATGATGGTATCTCCCAGAATATATTCATTTGCAACTTGCTTTTTACTCTTACAATATTGTGATTGATAAGAAATATATATTTGGTTATTCAGATGACCAGAGCATATTTCTCATATTTATTTGTTCTTCGTTCACAGTTCCCCAAACCCTTCATTTACAGAGCTCCCCAAACCATTGGAATTTCCTGAGCCATAAAAACAATAGGAGCATCTTTTGTTATAAAATTTGGTCTCTTATCCTCAGTTCTTGGAGAAGGAAATGGCAACCCACTCCAGTATTCTTGTCTAGAGAATTCTGTGGACAGAGGAGCCTGGTGGGCTGCTGTCCCTGGGGTCGCACAGAGCCAGACATGACTGAAGTGACTTAGCATGCATGCATACATTGGAGAAGGAAATGGCGACCCACTCCAGTTTTCTCGCCTGGAGAATCCCAGGGAGAGAGGAGCCTGGTGGGCTGCCATCTATGGGGTCACACGGAGTCAGACCCAACTGAAGTGACTTAGCAGCAGCAGCAGCATCCTCAGTTCTTATTGTTTCAGAGCCATAAAGGTGAAATGGGCATCTTGTTATTCACAACAAGCCCCTTTTCACCATAACTGGGTTTGTGTTGATGAGGTGCCTTTTAAAAAGCATGTGAGGATGGGGACTGGTTGCCAAGGGAACCAATCATGACCACACCCCTTGATTTCTGTAGTGGGCATAGAGGCTGAAGTTTGAATTAATCACCAGTAACTTACTCCAGCATATGTATGTAATGAGGGCCTCCCTGGTGGCTCAGTGGTAAAGACTCTGCCTGCCAATGCAGGGGACTCGGGTTCGATCCCTCATCTGGGAAGATCCCACATGCTTCGGAGCAGCTAAGCCCGTGAGTCATAACTATGGAAGCCCCTGCACCCAGAGACCATGCTCCCCAACAGAAGCCACACAAGGAGAAGCCCACACACCACAACGAAGAGGAGCCATTGCTTGCCCCAGTTAGAGGGGTGCCTGCATGCAGGCTGAAGCCAGCGCAGCCATAAAAAATACACATATTTCAGTGTGACTATGTTTGATGATCTACTTATTCATTCTTCATTCTCCTGTTCATGGACACTTAGGTTACTTTCAGTCTTTGGCTTTTATAAATAATGCTGCAGTAAACACTGTTTACATGTTTGTTTTGGTATGTGCAAGCATTTCTCCAGTGTATATTCCTAAAAGTGGAATTTCTGTTTCACAGAGTTTGTGCACTTGAACTTTTTGAGATTATAGTTAATTGTTCTCCAGACAGTAGCAAGACAGTCTTCACCACTGTTCACATTGCCTCCAACAATCTATTAGTCACATTTAAATTTTTAACCAATCTGATGTGTGTGAAAATGGCCATTTTTATTGACAGGTCTTTGATTGCTAGAAAGAGCATGCGTCATGTTTTCACCATTTTAGTCTTCTCTTCTGTGAACTGCCTCTTTGTATTGTGTATGTTGGAAACCCAAGGTGATTATTAGTTAGATCCGTCACACCTGCCTTCATTGAGCAAGCTCATTTTGTTGCTACAGAACGTTTGCATGTCCTCCAAGCTTCACGTAGCCTATAGAATAAAGATGTTTGCCCAAGTTGGTTTTTTAGTAACTTGGAGTCATCTGTGTCCAGTTTGAGCTTGAACCGGTTATGACTGTTAAGACCACTGACTCTCTAACTGGGCATGTTCAGCGAGTGACCACTCAGGGAACTTTAGATGACAGAGGGCCCAAGCCACACTACCTCCCCTACCCCGGCAAGGTAGCGCCATCATTTTCTGCACGTGTGCCCCACGAAGCAGCCTTGGCTTAGCTATGCCTGCGCAGATGGACGACTGCCTCACCCTTTTCTCTCCAATCACGTTCCCCACGTTCCCCAGTCCTCAGCTTTGTCCCATCATCCTTCTGAGCCCCTCCCATTCCCGGAGGCAGATTTGGGATGTTCTCTTTTCTGCTGGCATGGCTGCCTCGTGAAGACGCTTTTTCTCAGCTCTAAACCTCGGAGTCTCAGTGTTTGGTTTGCTGCCTGTTGGGTGAACAAACCAGGTTCGGTACTGTGTTTTTCTAATTTTTTTTAAGTTAATTAATTTATTCTTGGCTGTGCTGGGCCTTCGCTGCTGGTCGGGCTTTTCTCTAGCTGTAGCAAGCAGGGTCGATTCTTCGTTGCATTGCTCGGGGCTTCCCATGGCGGTGGCTTCTCTTGGTGCAGAGCACGGGCTCTAGGCACGAAGGCTTTCAGCAGTTGCAACGCACAGGCTCGGTAGTTGTGACGCACAGATTGAGTTGCTCCCATGGCCTGTGGGATCTTCGCGGATCAGGGATTGAACCCATTTCTCTTGCATTGGCAGGGGGATTTACCACTGAGCCACTAAGGAAGCCCGTTTTTCTATTTTAAAATTGGTTTGCCAATCATTAGGTATTTGGAATTTTAATTCGTCAGTCATATGTGATCAGTGTTACAAATGTCCTCTTTCTATCGGTTTCATTTATCTGACTTTTGAGCTATAGAAATTTAAACCTGATCTCAGGTTCGTCCATATCTCTTTATGTGTCTTTGTAAGAAATCCTGTCCTACTCTTAAGGTCATAAAGACAGTCTCCTGTATTTTACATTAAATACTGAAAGTTTGCTTTTCATATTTAAGTTTTTCATCCAGTTAGAACTATTTTTTGTGTAAGGGGTGAAGTTGTAACTTTTTTTTTTTTCCAGATGAATAGCCAGTTGTCCTGGTCATCCCTCCCCATAGAATTGTAATGCCATCTCAAAGTTTCCAAAAGCACAGGGATCTGTTTCCAGGTTCTCTTTTCCCATTGCTCTGTGTGTCTGTCTCTATGCAAAGCCACATTTTGTCTGTTTTTATAAATTATTTTATTTTATTTTTTTTTATAAATTATTTTAAAAATTTATTGAAATACAATTGATTTACAATGTTGTGTTAATTTTTTCTGTACAGCACAGTGATTTAGTTGTTGTTGTTCAGTCACTAAGTCATGTCTGACTCTTTGCCACCCCGTGGACTACAGCATGCTAGGCTTCCCTGTCCTTCACCATCTCCTGGAGTTTGTTTAAATTTATGTCCATTGAGTCGGTAATGCCATCCAACCATCTCATCCTCTGTTGCCCCCTTCTTCTCCTGCCCTCAATCTTTCCCAAAATCAGGGTCTTTTCCAGTGAGTCAGTTTTTTCCATCAGGTGGGCAAAGCATTGGAGCGTCAGCTTCAATCCTTGCAATGAATATTCAGTATGTATATTCTTTTTCATATTCTTTTTCATTGTGGTTTATCACAGGATATTGAATATAAGTCTCTGCTATACAACAGGATCTGTTGTTTATCCAGTCTTCATATAATAGTTTGCATGTGTTAACCCCAAGAGGGCTTCCCAGGTGGCCCTAGGGGTAAAGAACCCACCTGCCAGTGCAGAAGACATAATTGATGTGGGTTAAATCCCTGGGTTGGGAAGAGCCCCTGGAAGGAGAGCATGGCAACCCACTCCAGTCTTCTTGCCTGGAGAATCCCATGGACAGAGAAGCCTGGCAGGCTGTGGACCACAGGATTGCAAAGAGTTGGACAGGACTGAAGAGACATAACATGCATGCATAATCCCAAACTCCCAATCCTCCTCTCCCCGACCCCTTCAACCCCCTTGGCAACCACAAGTCTATTCTCTGTGTCTGCAAGCCTGTTTCTGTTTTGTAAATTTTCATTTGTATCATTTTTTGAGATGCCACATATTAATGATATCATACAGTATTCATCTGTCTCTGACCTACTTTGTTTTTATTGGTAGGTCCTTGATGGCTAGAGAAAAGAAAATGTCTCATGTTTTCCCCCATTTTATTTTTCTGTGAACTGTCTCTGTAGTTATCTTGTTTATACTGGAAACCTAGGGTGATCGTTAGTTAGATTCACTACACCTGTAACCTGACCTCACCGCTCAAGTTCCTTTAATTGTTGCTACAGAAGGTCTGCATGTCCTCCAAGCCTCCCTGTAGCCTAAAGAATAAAGGTGTTTGCGTTAAGCTGGTCTTTTAGTAACCGGGAGTCCGCTGTGTCCATTTCAAGCTTGAGCAGGTTATAAAGACCACTGACCTTCCAGCCGGGCATGTCCAGCGAGCGCTCACTCGGGGACCTTCAGCCACGAGAGGACCCAGCCGCGCCCCCGCACGGTATCGCCATCATTCTCCCAGGTGCTTCCCGTGACGCCGCCTTGGCTTGACTGCGCCTGCGCAGAAGGCCGGCCGCCTGACCACTTCTCTCCAGTCACCTTCCGCATGCTCCCCCGGCCTCGGCTTGGTCGCAGCAGACTCCTGAGCCGCTCCGCTTCCCTTCCCGGAGGCAGATTTGGGATGTTCTCCCCTCTGCTGGCATGGCTGCCTCATGAACACACAAACCTCGGAGTCTCATTCTTCCGCCAGTTACCTGTCCAGCAAACAAGCCAGTTCAGTAACATATTTCCCTATTTCTAAATTGGGTTTGCCGTTCACTAGATATTTGGAATTTTAATTATTTGTCAATCTTATATGTTACAAATGTCCTCTTTCTGTCGGTGGCTTGTTATTTCACTTTAGCTTTTTATTTGGCTGGGCTGCGTCTTTGCCGTGCGCGGGTTTTCTCTAGTTGCGGGGAGCCGAGGCTACTCTCTAGTTGGGGTGGGCTAGATTGTCATTGTGGTGGCTTCTTTGTTGCAGAGCACAGGCTCTAGGGCTGCGACTGTGGCCCATGGACCTAGTTGCCCCGAGACATATGGGATCTTCCCAGACCAGGGATTGAACCCGTGTCTCCTGCATTGGCGGACAGACTCTTAACCACTGGACCACGAGGAAAGCCCTTCAGTTTACTTTTGAACTATAGAGATTTAAATCAGAGCTCAGATTCATCCGTCTCTTTTTGTGTGTCTTTGTAAGAAATTTTGGCTGCTTTTAAGGTCATAAACACAGCCTCCTGTATTTTGTGTTAAAGATGAAAGGTTTGCTTTTCATATTTAAGTTTTTCATCCAGTTAACTTGGTTCTTGTGTATGGTGTGAAGTCGGAATTTAACTTTTTCCAGATGGATAGCCAGTTGTCCTGGCTATTTTCCCCGTTGAATTATAATGCCATCTCTCTTATACATGAAGTTTCCATTTCTTGGCTGTCTTCTCATTGCTCTATTTATGCCAAAACCACATTGTCTTAATTTCAGTAACTTTAAGTAGTATCAATATGTGAGACCTGGTATTTGAGACCCTCATCTAAATGAAATTAGTCTAGATGTTTTGTTTTTCTAATTGCATTTTAGAATCTGCTTGTTGATTTCCATGACAAGATCTGTTGGGATTTTTATTGGAACAATGTGCATTCATGGGCTAATTCGAGAAGAATTGGTGTATTTATGATATTGTCTCTATGACCATGGTGTAAAATTAAATTTTAATAGTTTCATAAAATTTTCAGAAAGGTCTCACACATCTTTTGATTTATTCATTTTATTGCTATTAGCATGTTTTTTTAGATAATTGTATCTTTATTAATTCAGGTCTGAAGTGTAATTTACATAGAGTAAAATTACCTTTTCTAGGTGTTGCAATTCATTGAACTTTTAAAAGGTGTAAGGTTCTGTAGCCACCATCACAGTCACGACATGGAGAACCCCGCTACCCCGAGGTCCTTCATGCCCTGTGTATTCAGTACTCTCCTCCCATTTCTAGCCACTGGCAATCACTGCTCTGAATTCTGTCTGTACTTTTGCCTCTTCCAGAATGTCACATAAATGGAATCATGCAGTATGTAGCCTCTTGAGTTTGGCTTTTTTTCACTTAGCAAAATACTTCTGAGATTTGCCCACATCTTTGCGTATTGGTAGTTGATGGCTTTTTACTGCTGAGTTATATTCACTGTATGGATGTGCCATGACTTACTGACCCACTCACCAGTTGATCAGTTGAGGGACAATCTTCCCTTCATTGTGAATGATAATGAGTAAACTTGCTATGAACATTGGTGTACAGATTTGCACGAGAACATGTTTTCATTTCCTGGGGTAAATACCTAGCAGTGTGGTTGTTGGGTCATATGATAATATGTATTTACATTTATACAAGGGCTTCCCTTGTGGTTCAGCTGGTAAAGAATCCATCTGCAGTGTGAGAGACCTGGGTTCGATCCCTGGGTTGGGAAGATCCCCTGGAGAAGGGAGAGGCTACCCACTCCAGTATTCTGGCCTGGGGAATTCCATGGACTATATAGTCCATGGGGTTGCAAAGAGTCGGACACAACTAAGCGACTTTCACTCACTTTCACATTTACATTTATAATAAATTGTCAAAATGTTATAAATGAAAAAAAAAAAAAGAAATTGTCAAAATGATTTTCAAACTGGTTGTGCCATTTTTCATCCCCATCAGTAAAGTATGAGAATTCTAGTTGCTTTGCATTCTCATCAATTCTTGGTACTATAGTCTTGTCTCATTGTGGTTTTATTCTGCATTTTCCTAATGACTTATAATTTTGAACTTCCTTTTATGTGATTGTCATCTGTATCTCTTCTTTGATAAAATAGCTGTTCAAGTATTTTTCCAGTTTTTAAAACTTGGGATTTTTGTTATTGAGTATTGAAGTCTACATGTTGTGTTACAAGTTCTTTATCAGATGTGTGTTTTACAAGTATTTTCTCCAGTTTGTAGGTGGTTTTTTATTTTCTTAATAGCATCTTTTGAAAAGCAGAAGTTATTAATTTTGAAAAAGTTCAATTTATCAGTGTTTTTCTTTTGTGGACAGTGGTTTTGGTATTGAATCTAAGAAATATTTGCCTAATTCAAGGTCACAAAGATTTTCTGTATAGACCATGGGGTTGCAAGGAGACGGACATGACTCTTTGTGTATCTATGGAGGTGATTGGTTCCAGGACCCACCCTGTGAATACAAAAATCTCAGGATGTTCAAGTCCCTTATATAAAATGGCATAGTATTTGCATATAACCTGCACAATCTTCTCATACATTTAACCCTAATTAGTTTATACTTAAATACAACGACATAAAATTTGTTTCAGGTGTACTACATAATAATTTGACATTTGCATACATTATGAAATGATAACCTTAAGTCTAGTAACCATCTGTCTCCATACAAAAGTTTTACAGTATTATTGAAAGTGAAGTTAGCCATTTAGTCACATCCAGTTCTTTGCGACACTATGGACTGTAGACCCTATAGGCTGCCAGACTCCCCTGTCCATGGAATTCTCCAGGCAAGAAGACTGGAGTGTGGGTAGCCATTCCCTTCTCCAGGGGATCTTCCTGACCCAGGCATGGAACCCAGGTCTCTTACATTGCAGGCAGATTCTTTACCATCTGAGTCATCACGGAAGCATGCCCATGACTTATAGCTGAAAGTATGTACCTCTTAATCTCCTTCCCCTATTTTGTCCCCACCCTCTACCTTCTCTTCTCTGGTAACCATCAATATGTTGTTTGTATCCATTTGTCTTTCATTTTGTCTTATTTTTTAGATTCCATATATAAGTGAGGTCATGTGGTATTAGTCTTTCTCTGATTTATTTCACTTAGCGTAGTACCCTCTTCATGAATCCATGTTGCTGCAAATGGCAAGATGTCATTTTGTTATGGCTGGGTAATTACTCCATTGTTTAAATATACCACATCTTCTTTATTCATCCATTGATGGACACTTAGGCTGCTTCCATATCTTGGGTACTGTAGTGCTTCAGTGAACATAGGCATTCAAATACTGTTTCCAGTTAGTGTTTTCATTCAGATAAATACGCAGAAGTGAAATTGCTGTATCATATCCAGTTCTGTTTTTTAGTATTTTGAGGAACCTCCACCCTGATTTTCATAGTGGTTACACTCTTACATTCTCACTAGCAGTGCACAAAAGTTTCCTTTTCTCCACATTTTCACCAACACTTCATTTTTATCTTCTTGATGACAGCCATTGTGGCAGATGTGCAGTTTTTGGTCATTTCATTGTGGTTTTGATTTGCATTTCTCTTGTTAGTCATATTGAGCATTTTTCCATGTGTCTGGAGGCCATCTGTAGGTCTTCTTTGGAAAAAATGTCTATTCTCCTGCCCATTAAATTTTTTTAATTGTTTGATTTTTGATGTTGAGTTGTGTGAGTTCTTTGTATATTTGGATTTTAACCCCTTATCCATTTGCAATTATCATTTCCTGATTCAGTAGATCTTTATGTTTTGTTGATAGTTTCCTTCTCTGTAAAAAAGTTTTGCAATCCAGTGTAGTCCCATTTGTTTACTTTTGCTTTTGTTTGCTTTGCCTGAGGAGAGAGATCCAAAAAAAAAGAAAAGAAATTGCCAAGAATGATGTTAAAGAGTCTACTGACTGTATTTTCTACTAGAAGTTTTATGGTTTCAGGTCTTGCATTTAAGTCTCTAATCCACTTTGTGTTTATTTTCATACATGGTGTGAGAAAGTAATCCAGTTTGTTTCTTTAGCATGTTACTTTGCTGTTGAGTTTCCCCAGTGCTGTTTATTGAAGATTCTGACTTTTCCCTGTTGTATAGTCTTGCCTCCTTTTTTATATGTTTATTGCCCATATAAATGTGAGTTCATTTTCTGGTCTCTATTCTATGTTCCATTGATCTAGGTACATGTTTTTATGCCAGTACCATACTGTTTTGGTTACTGCAGCTTTGTAGGATGGTTTGAAATCAGGGCATGTGATAGTCAGGATTGCTTTGGCTATTGGGGTCTTTTGTGTTTCCCTGCAAATTTTAGAGTTATTTGTTCTAGTTCTGTGGAAAAAGTCATGGGTATTTTGATAGAGATTGCACTGAATCTGTAGATTTAGTCTGGTCATTTTAACAATATTAATTCTTCCATTCCATGAGCACAGTGTATCTTTACATTTGTGTCAACTTAAATGTCTTTTATCAGTGTCTTAAGGTTTTCAGAGTTCAAGTCTTTTAGCCCTCTGGTTAGATTTATTCCTAAGTACTTTATTCTTTTAAATGCAATTGTAAATGGGATTGTTTTAATGTATTTTTCTCATAGTTCATTTTTAGTATACAGAAATGCTGCATATTTTGTTCTATTTTGTATATTGCACTTCACTGAATTAACTTATTCTAGTAGGGTTATTTTTTTGCTATCATCTTTAGGATTTTCTGTATATAGTATCATATCATATGAAAACAGTGACAAAGTTACTATTTCCTTTCCAATCTGGATTTTTTGTTTTTTTCACTGACTTCTGCAGCTAGGATTTACAATATACTGTGTTGAAAAAAAGTGGTAAGAGTGAGCATACTTGTC